GACACGTGGAGGAGTCCCAGAGGCTTAGTGGTATAGATCCACTGTCTCTTTTGGTATTTAATTTATGATTTATAATGTGTTATATTGCCAATATTAGGACTTTTTTTGTTTATTGTCAATTATATGAATATATAAATGTAATCATGCCTTTCAAACTATTTCTATTTTTGGTACAATTTGGATGACTGTAATTTTAATATTTGGTTTACTTTGGATTGGTTAAAATGGCATGATTATAAGGCCAAATAACTGGCTTGTGTTGAAAATTGATTAAATTGCTTATTTTACTTGTTGGGAGTATAAGGATGGACAAATGTGATTTAGTTTACTTGTTGGGAGTATAAGGATGGACAAATGTGATTTAGCCTAATGGCATGTGGGAGGTAAAAATTTATCTGAAATGTTATAGTGTGTGAGTTGAAGCCAATTATAAAATATTTTATATCGAAATTATTGATATAAAAATGTGTTGGGTGGCTGTAACCCAACTATGGTTGAGTTAAATTATTTAAAAAAAAAAATTTGGTGTGTTACAGATGCCAACTTAGAGAAATATAATGGATGATTGATTTTTATTTTTAATTTAATTATGTTAATTACATTTATTTCACCACTAATCCTTCACAGATCAATTCTCCTTTTCCTCTATAAATTTTATTCTCTTTTCACTTATTACTAGTCAAGTATGAATATTGGCCCAAGAAAAAGAGTCAAGTATGAAGCACTATCTCCACTAAAAATGTAAGGCATTTTTAATTGAATCTCATTTTAATAAAGTAACTACTTGTCTTCAAACTAACTTTATTTTTCTATATTCATCCCATTCAATAGAATGGTTCACCTTAAAATAAATATAAAGTAATTTATTTAATAAGTACACTTTTGAAAAGGGGCAATAATTATATTTTAAAAGATTAAAAATATTTTATATCTTTTAACATTCAATTTTTTAAGAAATGCTTTATATTTTTCATAGGAGTGAGTAATTGATTTATCATTGCATGAATAATTTCTTGTTATCTAATGATTTGCTTTTCACTAGAATGATAAGTTTTACAAAAATCAAATGCATTGTAAATTACTTATTTTTTAATTGCACGTTAGCTTATTTAATTTAACTATAACATAATTATGTTAGCCTGACATAAGATATAATGAGGGGCTGGGCAACCTTCATATACTAAGATATGCTTATACAGCAAATGATCCAAATGATCAGGTTATAATTCCCTGTTTCTAGTGAAAATAAAAATGAACAGTAAATGAAGAGGAGGGCATTTGCATCTTGGAAGATTAAATAAGAGGGCATGGACATCTGGCAGTCAATCGCCAGATTTTGTGAAGTTTACAATCGCAATAAATGCACTCACTACTGCCATTCCCATCAATAGCTGATACTCTTAACTTATTTTAGTTTGTGCTACTCCTCACTTTATAAGAAAACTTTTTGAATGAATTTTATTGCTCCAAAATATAAAATAATTGACAAAGTATATGATTTTATTAATAATATTTTTTAAATATTATCCTTTAAGTGAAAAAAAATAAAATGATGTTATAGTGTAATAATTAAGTATGTGAAATATTTTTAAAAGTTCATATTTTTATTTAAAAAATAAATTTATAAAATGTTGTTATTTTGTTATATTGATATGCATGTCTTATAATTTGATATAGGAGTACCATTTAAAAAACAGAAAATAATAAATAAATAAATAAATAAAAGAGTAAAGGAAAATGAATCGCTCTTATCTTCATAGTTCTAGAATGAATCCCAAAGATGCCTTGCCTGAGTATCTAGAATGGAAAAGCGAAGGAGGGGGAGAACCAGCGATAACTTTGCCAAGAAACAACAAAAAGTAGAAGGATACAGAATACATGAGCCTCCACTTCTGCAAAGTAAACTGAAATTTAGAGGAAGTCCAGCTTCCTTATCATTAACTAACTAACTGCATTCGAGATTTTAGTCAAATCAGTAGGTGATCTGTCTAACATGAAAATGCCGTCCCCAAATAAAGAAAAAATGAGAACAACAAAACTTTTCTTCCCATCTAATTACGCTTGAACTTCCAAACTCAACATCAATTTAACTGTTTTTCTGACACTAAATAATACTCCTTCCAAAATACAAGCATTTTTTATAAGTAATTTTGATTCAAAATATAAATAATTTATTATATGTAAAAAAATTTTCCATTTTACCTCTTGCATTAAATTTAAATATTTATATGAACGTATGTCTCTCTCATCATGCAATGTATTCACAGTTGGGACTAGAGGCAAAATATATATATATATATATATATATATTTATGAAAATGAAGATTTTATTGACACAAATTTGTTTCTAAAACTGAATATATTCTGGACGGGAACACCTAAACTTGTGTAAGCCACGGAAAAAAAAAAGTTTGTTTACAACGCTATGCTACAGGAAAAAAAATACCCTTGGTAGGCATTTGCAAATTGCAATACAACCCGAACGATGAGGAGAGTTTATGTGTCAATGGATTAAAGCAGTAATGATTCTGAAGATAAAATTTACTCATGATTTGACCGCCTCATCATCATCTTCAATATCCCAACTGAGGTCCTCCTCTTGCTCAGCTGAACTCAACCTCTTTCGCAGATCAATTCTACTAGGTGTTCCGACTGTATCTCCTTTATTCTCATCATTGCTTCCACTATCTTCAATCTCATCCCAACCAAGGTCTTCTTCCTCAGGCATCGATGGTTGGCTTGAAACAACTGAAATATCACTGTCTTTGCAAGATTCACTGTTGTCTGTTTTAACTTCTGATGCTGCTTGGTCATGATATTTAGCTTCAAATTTATTTCCACTTCCACTAGCTGCAGCATTTGATGCCACATGCTCATGATCCTTAGCCTCCCACTTATCCCCGCCATCAGTTTCAGATTCAGAAGCAACACCCTTCGCACCATTTTCTGTATCCGAATCCACCTTCTTAGTTTCAAGACACTCGATAGAACCACCATCTGCAGCAACTTCGGAGGAATTTTCCCCTCCACTAACGTCACCCCACCGGAATGACCTTTTAGCTCATACCCATCATCATCATCATCAAAATCCCAACTCAAATCCTCCTCCTCGTCGCCAGAAATCGCACGTTTCACAAGCTTAGCTCTGGCATCCTCCGCCTGCTTTAGTTTATGCATCCTATAAAAATACCTGCTCCAGAAGCTTTCATGGTCGGTCCTACTGGGGACAACCTCGTCATATATCTCCTCAATCACCTCATTCTCCGCAATCAAGTCTTTAATCTCCGGCCCCTTGTCCAACTCAAACCCTGATTTCCACTCATTGTAATTTTCCACATCTTCGGGTTCCTCCACATAGGTGTTAACATCATTCTGAAGAGCACGCACGAGTGCATCGAACCTACTGTATCGCTTGACATCCGAACTCTGATTACTGCTAGTACTCAATCGCTGCTTCACAATAACGTTCCTCCCATTATCGTTGTAATCAGAAGGATCGAAATCAGAATGAGCGGCTAAAAGAGAATCCCTACCCTGAGAGATAATCTTGGTCGTTGAATTCCAAACCGAGCTACCGATATCGTCTATGGCTTGGCCAACGGACTCAAGCGACTCCTGAGCAACCGACGCGCCAACATCGAGCGAAGCAGGGAGATCCTTGACGGCGCGTGAAGCAGCTTCTCGAATAATTGCTGTCTCTTTCTTCAACCCAGAACTGAATTCCTCTAGATCGCGGCGGTAGGTGCCAATAACGGACTCGGATTTGGAAGCAAGGGTCTGTAAGAGACCTCCGAATTTCCAGGCACTGTTAGAGTTGGAACTCTGGATCGGAGCGGGACTCGGATCGGATTCGTCAGGGTCATGCTCTCCGGATCCATGAGAGACGGAGGAGGATGGCGGCGGCGGCGGCGGATCGTCGGAGAACACGGACTTGAAGAAATCCATTGAGGATAGGAGGAAAGGTGGATGCGCCGATGACGCTCGTTTATGATGCGTTACCTTCTTGAAGGGGCTTTTGCGTCTTTATCGGTGATTAATTCAATTATTTTTTGGCCAAAAAACATTCAATTAAATTTGATGCACACCCCACGGAAAGTTTTTCTCTTTCTGTTTTATCAATCATCGTCGATATCATCATCGCCAATCAAATATATAATTGTGAAAGTTTTGTGCATTTCTCACGAATCAGAACAAAGTATCCTGTTTTTTAAGTTTTTCTATGTCATATATTACTGTTAAAAAAATAATATTATTTACTCCATAAGTCACGTATTTATATTTTATATAACTCGTTTCGGCGTTTAGTTTATTATAAATGAAAATTACTGGACTAGAACATATGCTTGGTTTATGAATTGTATTTCATTTTATTTATTAAGTTTAATTAAATTTCAGATATTGTTTTAGTCTAGTCTAGTCTCGTCTAATTGAAGCAATTTTTTTTTTCACGGTTCCAGACTTCCAGGAGAGTCCTGTTATTGAGAAGAGCACGGTCATCACCCCAAATTTATTACGAAAAAGGATTATCTATTAAAGGATTTACAAGACTTAACTTGTTCTTGGTAAATCAGTCGAAGAAAGTCTGGTTAAATTAGCAAACAATGCGTAAACAAGTTATCTGTCTGTCAAGATTTTATTCACCATACTACCAAGATTTTATTCACCAAATAAATAAATAGTGAGAAATGGGTTTGGCCGTTTGGGTTTGGCAGTAAGAAATGTCAACAATGGCGTTAGTTGCAGTGGTGTGTGAATTGAACAAACAACTGGAAGTTTTCTCCGCCCTCATAGTGGAAAAATGGATACCATGTTGCAATGATTAAAAAATTGCCCAATAATTATGTCCAACGAAACACAAGCTGATCCTAGCGACTGGTTAGGACGAAAACAATGGGTTGTTAACACCTTGAATTAGCTAGAAAACCACAGACAATATTGCCTAAGCATAAATGTTATTTTTAGTTTGCTGCTAGGGAGGCTGAAGACTTGGCTAAGTCGAGTTAAAATGAAAATCCTCATGTTTAGAAATTCAATTATAACTATGGAACTTGTCCATTTCTCAGCAGGGTTCTTTGTTCACTACATAATTATTCTTTCAACATCATATACCCGGTGCTTCATCTGATTCATAGATACATGCTATTAGTTCAGTTTCTGGGAAACAGCGACTAGAAAATATTATACATCAGATTACGAAGGAATATACAAGACATAAAACTCAACAATTTTACACAAGCAAAGAATGATAGCAGAGCAATCAATTATTAGTTTAACCTGATACTCTCAATTTCCTGGATGATAAGCTCCTTTTCCTCCTCAAATTGCTCATCTTCTGAACCTGAAATTAGTGCTAGAGCTAAGATATGTGAATCTAAAAACGTTACGCCTCCTAGAGATTATGAAATTGACAACAATTCATATGAACAAGCGTGGCTTTCAAATAAATCCACTGAAACTATTATAACCTTTCGCGGGAGACAGATTATGAAGTAATTCTAGCAGCTTCTCTTGGTTTTTTGCCAGGATAATTTTTATATCCCGTGGTTTGTTAGGATTAGCAACAAAAACCTGCATAAATAAGGGGAGGAAATGATGACAACTAATACAGATCATAAACTTCAAAACAAATTTTTTGCCAGGATAATTTTTATATCCCGTGGCTTGTTAGGATTAGCAACAAAAACCTGCATAAATAAGGGGAGGAAATGATGACAACTAATACAGATCATAAACTTCAAAACAAATTTTTTGCCAGGATAATTTTTATATCCCGTGGCTTGTTAGGATTAGCAACAAAAACCTGCATAAATAAGGGGAGGAAATGATAACGACTAACACAGATCATAAACTTACAAAACAAAATTTTCCTATGGTTTATGTCTTCAAAGACAAAACAGGGGATCCAAAGGATTGGATGGCCAGAACTTAATATTTTGAAATAAGTGCATCAAAAGCAGTTTTCAGGAACTTTCTGCACGCATCCAAGAGGGCGTCAATGTATTTTATCTAACTTAGTGTATAATTCAATAAAACTTCCTTTAGCGATACAATAAATAACCCTCAGTCTCTGAAAACCCTATTGGACCGATGAATTCTGTAGCATGCATCCTGCCAGATCTTCCCCCTTCCTCAGTTGTCCAATAATTGTCAAGTGTTAAATCACTTTTGCAAACACGACTACCCAATCAAAAAGCTCATAAGCGTTGCCTAACTATATATCCATCGGCTGTCTACTATAAACCATAAGAACAAGTAAGATTATCTCAAAGACCAAACCCATGACCATTTGGTTTAGATAATCCATTTTGAACGAACAGAACAAAAACACGTGTGCATCATAAATGCAATACTTAGCAAGAAGCTATTCAGATTGCCGCTGCTTAATTTGATTATCTGAAACCTGAGTGAGGATTTTCAATACAACCACAGGAGAACTTATCAAATTATTCTAATGGTAGGACCGTGAAAATTCACCTTGAAAATGTGAAAAGCTGATAGCTGAACATTTTTACTTGCGTCCTGCTCAATGAAAAGAATAGTTGAGTATACTAAATAACTGATAGAAAGAAAAGGTAAAACAATAACAGTGTTTTTAGCATGTATAAAACATCAATCAAGTGTATTATAGATTCTGGATCACATGCCCAGCGGGCAGTTACTAACAAATTAGGCGCAGACATTTTTGGTCCCTAGAGGTTGAAATGTACCAGTTTCACGGCACTAAAATTCAAAGCCTAACATCTAACAAAAGAAACAGTAGAGAAGTCATCAAGCAAAATACTCATGTCACAAAGATGACTCTGCCGGCAGATTGTGGTCAACAACATATCAAGAAAATGTTTGACGCGTTGGGTTCCAAGAAGAGTAAACATTTTCCAATTAATCAGAATTAGGAAAACAAACATGAAAATGACTGTCCTTTAAGTAATATAAATACCAAACAATTAGAAAAACTAAACCAAGAGTTAATATAAACTTATGTATAATATACATTTGGGTTTGAATCAATGAATATCCTATGACTTGTGACTTCAGAAAATAAAGTAAGCACACCAATTAAATTTAATGGGTATAATATTGACCAAGCACCAAGAAATCATATTTATTTGTCACGGGAAAATAAAAGTAGAATATCACACAAAAAGAGACAGGATGAAGAGGAATTATACCCTCAACAATGTCATCATGACTTTCATGTGACGTACTTCTTGGATGTAGCGTTTCATTATATGGGAATTTGGAGCCTCCAAAAGAAATTCTGATAGAATCTAAAGGCCACACGCAGTTAATTTGTTAACAATTCTACATATCAAAAAACAATATTTATGGAAACTTGTATCCAGAACAAACCTTTAAAGATTGTCGCCTTGTGACATAATTAGAAGATGTCAAAAGTTTGTCATAGAGATCAAAGAACTGTGACATTAAGCCTTATTAGAAAAGCCAGAATAACATGCAAGATTAAAACACCCCAATAATCAAATCTGCACCGCACACATGTTTAATGATATTGGGGGGGGGGGAAGTGAACTTAATTATCTCCTATTTAATACTCATGCAGTAAAATTTTCTCTGAGAGGCCACTGAATTTTTATACATGCTTAAATATTTTGAAGATGTCATTTTTTGATCAAATCAGATAAGCAAGACAAGCTAAGAAGGGAGCAAACCTCATCATAATGAGCTTCCAAAAATTCGGCAACCAGTTTTCCATGTTTAGTAAGAAGATCCTGCAAAACATTTCGGAAGCTTATAATGGAGTGGTAGAAGGAAGTCTAAAAATCAGCAAGGGAGAAGAGAGAGAGGAAGTATGATTAGCTTTTTCTCCCCCCCCCCCTTGGGGGGTGGGGTTGGGGTGGGGACATATGGGAATTCTGACCTTAAAGGTAGAAAATGCATCTGAAGCGACATCAAAATTAGGCAACTCTACGAATTTAAAGAACAACTCAAAGCTTGGAGACTCCAAAATGTATCTGGAAAGACAAAATATTAAACACATGAAAAATGTAGCTGGCTTGCTTCTAGAAAGACTACATGAGAAGGTCCAGTCTCCATTGCACATTGACAATCATTTGTTAAATTTACTATCTATACATTGACAAAAAAGCTAAACATTTGGATTTTGGGAGATGATCTCCAGAGTTCTGTTTCTCTAATCTTTTTATAGTTAATCATATTTGGGAAATCCTTTTAAAGACCCAAGTTTGAGAGAGAGAAACACATTTTTTAAGCAAATAGAAAATGTCATAGTTACGTAATTTTCTTAATATCAGAACCATTTCATGACTTCTCAAATACTTAGGTCTTTAAACGAGAAACTAATGTAGCATGCAATAAGCTCCCTCTCCTTTGTTGATAGCATTCACTCTCTCTGAATATGTTTGTGAACGTTCAAAAGGAATGAATTTCACCACCCTTAAGCTAGAGGCTAGAGATTAATAGAAGATAACAATTCCCTAAGAACATAAATTTAGTGAATCACAGACGTGAAGGATATGGCAAAAAAGGAAGCCATCACCAAGACTGGGTTTATACTCAATACAATATTAAGAACCTAGACCATTCAACTTTTATGCCAAAACAAAATTTTTAAGTTATAATTCAGAGAAGTACTCTTTATTTTTCTTCTAATAAATATAAAAATCTCTCCTATTGGTTGATGGAGATTAAGGTAGAATGGAATATCTAAATCTCACACTTAGTATGAAATGTTCTATAGGAGACTTAAGTGGGTTGGTTCTCCTAGTCTGACCTTAAAAATTAATTTTTCAGGGAAGTTTCCTTGCCTCACTTGGGTATCCATCATTAGAGCAGTTTTAGGTTGGATGATAGAGAAGTAGAAAAGGCAGTATTTTACACCGACCTCCATTAAGATCAATCTTAGCCTACAGTGGACCTGAGAGATATGCAATGGGTGAAAAAGAAAATCTGGTAATATCTTACTCTGCAAGTGTTGGAAATTTGAAGCATTCCCGCAACATAATTCCACAGTTCAACGCAATTTCTCTGTTATCATAGCTGTTTGGGAAAAAAAAATAGAGTTTATGAGCCCCCAATAATATTGAAGAACGTTTAAAAACATTCCTTAGGTAGGGAAAAACGCTTTTGCAAACATTGTTATGAAAGAATACTTGAAACAGTCAATTAATGTCTAAGGATATTATCTAAGTGTTGTAAGTGAAATTATTTTGTTTGATTCCTAGAAGAAAATCACTACAATGTTGAACAGAAAATGGGGAAGTTGCGGCATGTTGTATCTCTATTCAAAACAGCAGGGGAAATTAAGTGAAGATACTCGTAATAAGGGCAAATCATTTATATCAAGACTGGAAGCATCTTCTATTCCATCCACTTTGTCATAGAGAAAAGAGGGAATAGATTAAAAAATGCCATGCAATTTAAAACTTACCATACAACGAGAAAGTCTAGTAACTCAGAGTGTTGTTCAATGTATTCTACACAGCAGTACTTGTAGTCAACTTTATGTTTCAACAATATGGACCAACATTGGACTAAATTCTTTCTTGCCTGCGTCAGAATTCACAGACCCGTGATGAGCGACCAGTTAAACCAACCGTAGATTCTTGTGCTTGGTAGCAATCTAAATCTTACTTCCCATCCCAGTATAGGCAACTTGTGGATTAGAAGAGCAACAACATCCTCTTTGCATACTTCCTCCACTAGCTGTGAAACCTGATCCATATTTGGTTCTGACTCCCCATCTCCAGAGAGCATGCATTTCATGGTCACGAAATTCTTCTCAACTTCCTCTAAAGCCTATGATAAAGCCAAAGAAAAAAAAATAGATCGAGAAGAATCAATTACCTAAATTATAGCAACTGCAGCTCATCAAAGCAATTTAGCATCTCTAGAACAAACTCTCTTGCTTTTGGTTCTCACCAATTAAAAGCAAGCATGAAAGAGAAGAACAACTGTGACCACTCCAACGTGATTCTTTGACGATCAAACTCAGGTAAACAAGCTGTTCACTTCCTGGACTAAAAATAAATAAACCATTTGTCTAAAATATAAAATTTGCGAGACCCATCCAAGAATTTTGGCATTGCCGCACAATCAAGTGCAAAGGATCGCCCAGCTAAAGCATTGAGAATTTGGATCAAGGGGATGCAATTGAAGTGATTCAGTATCATGCAAACTCCGAAGAAATGAAAAAATCACAGGAAATGTATGAACAGAGAAAAGAGGCAGCTGAAGAAGAAGCAAGAGGAGAAAGCAGTAGGCAGAAACAGACCTTCTCAAGGGCTTTAACTTCGACAACAGTTTTGGTATCAAGGGCCACGAGACTGTCCTTGAGAGACTTGGCCACCTCCTGTGGCGTTTTAGGCCTCAGAATCTTGAAGAAGGAGAACGACATGGCGATCGGCTCGTCGATGAATTTCCACTCCGAGTCCTTGTATCTGTCTGTGTACAGTTCTCTTCTCGCTTTACCAGTAAACGAATTTCGCTGTCCAAAATATAAAACAACTTTTAAAAAATAAGGTTGGTTAACTACAGTGCCTCCCTTAAAAACATAACAATTTTAATTAAATATCATCCTTAATAAAATAATTATCTATCTTAAAACTAATCATATTTTTTTATATTTATTCTTATTTAATATAATGTTTTATCCTAAAATACATATAAAGTTCTTTATTCAATAAGCGCACTTTAAAAAAAATAATAAGTATACCTTAAAAATTTAAAAATATATTACATTTTTTAATATCCAACCTTTTAAAAAATATCTTATATTTTTATAACAAATGAAGTATTTTACTAATATTATTTTTTAAATTGACATAAAATTAAAATAATATTATAGTATAATAATTAAAAGTGTAAAGACATTTTTTAAGATTTTTTTATAAGATAAATTGCTCCACTTTTTGAAAAAATGTTGTGGTTAGAAAATATGAATTAATTTTTAAAAAATTTAAGAATATATGTACAAGAAAGTTATATTGTTATACAAAAATTTATAAAAAATTTATCATTAATTTACAATGATATATCAACAAATATAATAAACCAACTGTATTGTAAATAATAAATGCTAAATTGTTTGCTTGTTTTAATCTTTTAACATAAGTTATATATGCAAAAAGCTCTTAAATTTATAACTTTATTTTTTAAAACTAAATTTATAAAATATTATTATTATATTTTACTTGTATGAGTAATTTTATTTTAAATTATTTTATAATTTGAGACTGGTGAGTATTAATTTATAAAAATATTTCCTTCAATTATGATTTTTATGCAAAATCAAATGAACCCATGCATGTCTATGATATGATGACTGATGATAGCCTGTAGATACCCTTACCATGGGAAGGAAATCTTTGCATTTTTTCCCCTCTTTTCCCTTCACTTTTTCAATCTTCACCCTTCATTAATTTTATAATTTTAAAAACTTATTTAATAAAATAATGTGGATGGTGATGATTGGGGAAGTGAAGGAAAAAGAATGAGAGAAATAGAGACCCCTAGTCCCCCTTATCACATGAGATAGATAGAAGAAATAATGACAGTAAAGATTATCTTGTCAACTTGAGTCACCTTGTCCTTACCTCACACTCACATTTACATAATATGCTTGGTCATTGACCCTCACCCATCAGGCTAATAAGTTATAGTACTCTCTCCATTTAAAAATATAAAGTATTTTTTTAGAAGATAGATGTTTAAACATATAAGACATTTTAATCTGTTAAGTATAATTATTATATCTTTTTTTAAAGCGCTCTTATAAATAAATAACTTTATATTTATTTTAAGGTGAAACACTCTATCAAATAGGGATGAATGTGAAAAGATAAGGTTAATTTAAAGATAAATACTTACTTTATTGAGGTTGAAGTTCAGTTAAAAATGCTTTACATTTTTTAATGGAGAGAGTATTATTTTCCTTTAAGTGAAGTGAGTATTATTTTATGAAGTAACTTATTAAGATGAGTCACTTTGAGGTTAAAAAAATGAGATGAAAAGGCTAAGGTTGTGTTTGAATGGGTAGACTTGGGTTGAGAATCTGGATTTAAAATTCATAGGTTTTAAATTTTTTTATTTAAACGATATAAAAATTTTAAATTATAATATTAAAATACTTTGCTTAGATTTTAAATAAAATTTCAAATTTTGAATTTTTAAGTTTGAATTTATAGGCAACTCGGATGATGTCGATAGTCTGGTTTTGATCAAGGGTGGCAACCCAATCTCGGTCGACTTCAGCTGTCCAAACTCAAAACTAATCCCAATCGACAATAGCAATCTAGTCGTGGTCGACATCGGTGATATGATCCCAAACAGTGCCTATGAATTAGCCTAAGACGGTTATAGCAATTCGAGGGTTGTGGATTGAACTTGAATGACAACATCAAAACATTCCTTGTCAACGGCAATGTTCAGCATCAAACAATGAAGGTGGATGAATCGAAGAGGTGATCATAGACTTGTCCTGAACAGCGATGGAGGCGACAAACTGACATAGGTTGAATGTGACAGAACATTACCGAACGATAGTAGCAGACCAACATTGGATGATGACACTAAATTGGCATTAAATGACAATTAAGATAACAAACCATCATCGGGTGGTGGAGAAGGGTGGTCTCGGTCAATGTTAGTGCTTCGGTCTTGATCAGCACTGGTGATTTTGTACTAGTTCGCCCTTGCTTTCACATCTTAGTTGAAGCCAGCAGTTTGGTCCCAGGTATAGCCAATGGTTCGATCGTAGTTAGCACTAATGGTCTATTCTCAATCATAGCCAACAATCTAATCCCATCATAGCATGTCCAGGTCAGCGTTAGCAAGTTGGTCCCATTTGGCATCGCAGTTCGATCCTAGTTGGTGTCATCCATGTGATCTAAGTCAAAATTTACCGTATAATCTTGATGATGCCAACAGTTTGGTCCCTGTCAATGTCGACTATTGGTTACCGCTTGATGCTACAGTCTGGTCCCAGTTGGCTCTAACATTTTTTTTTTGATTAGATGAGTAAAATTTCTAAAAATATTGGCTAGAGGCAATAATGTCAAAGTCGAGAAAGTAGCAAGGCCGACAAACAGACTCGAAAAAAGAGAAAAGCTTTCATTAAAATTTAAAATAATAAAAGTTTAGAAATGATTTGAAATTACAAAAGGATTGAGGTAGGATTTGAATTTTTAATTATCCAAACAATGAATTTTAATCAAATTCAAATCCACATACATCCAAACATAAAATAAAAATAATGGGTTTGGGTTTTAATTAGGTAAAATTATTTTTGAAAATAGTTGATTATTATAACATAATAAGACTATATTTGGATGTTATTTTCTAAAATTAATTTTGATAAAACTGAATATGTTTGAATGATTTTTAAAATTACTTTTAAATGTACAAATTATAATAAAGGATATTCATTTTTATAGTATAATACTAATAAAGTTATTGAATTCTACTCAAGAGGATGAATTTTTACATGACACTTACCTTCTCTTCAAACAAAATACACCAAGTCACATTATTTTAATTTTATGTGACAGCCCCTTAATTTTATTTGAGAGAACATAAGTGACACGGTGCACAAGGTGCGCCTAAGAATTTCTCTTTTAACAAATAAAACATGTATAATATTTATATAGTTATTTCATATATCTACTAATTAACTATAGACGTTCAAATTATACTATAATATTTATAATTTATAATTTAATCAATTTTAAAAATAGATCAATATATATATATGAGTGCATATAAAAGATAAAATATAGGTCAATAAGAACAGGAGAAAGAATTTATCTTTATCTTCTTCTTTTAGTACCCATTTTCAAAATGGAACAATAGTATTACTATAGCCATCAATGCACATCCAAGGAGAGGGCTTCATAGCAAGAGGACAGAATAGAGAGAAGAAGACACGGAAGGAAGCTTTTGAGGCAGACAAAAGAGGACACTAGCAACTAAGTAAGAGGATGTTGTAGGTCAAGGAGGAGTATGTTGGAGATTATAGACGACGGTTGCAGTGGATCAAAGATGGAGGTCGTACTCGAACACCAGCTACTAAGGGAAGATGTGGACCCAGTCAGAGTTTGAGTTCCAGATGATGGAGACGCTGGAGGTTTTGAATTCGCAAGCCACACATGGTTTGGGGGGTAGAGTCAATTAGTCTGTCATATCCAAACAAGCTCTAAGGGAAATTGGGTATAATGAAGGTGTAGTGCAGAGCCGCGTCTCGAAGAGGACTGTTTTTGGTAAAAAGATACATGTGTGAAATAAAAAAAAAAAAGAAAAGAAATAAACATAATTTTTAATCGTTAAATGTCATTGATATCCCTAATATATAATACTTAATTATATAAATTATTCTAGCGTAATAATATTTATAAAAAATATGTAGAAAAATAATTTATTATTTATAAAAATTGTTAGTTATATTTTAATTTATACAGGAATAAGTTTATTTAAAAATAAAATAATTTATTACTTATATTTTCTTAAAATTGTTATTTAAATTTTAATTTATATAGGAATAACATTTTTAAATAAACTAATTTATTATTTATATTTTCCTAAACTTGTTATTTATTTTTTAATATGTATGAACGAAACAAATTTTAGTTTACATAAAATAAAAAACTTTATATACACTAAAATAAATTATTGTTTTTAAATTTTTATTTTATTTTTATATTTTAAATTTCAAAATATCCCGTGCACGGGAAATAAATATAGTTTAATGAATTAATTGTGTTTTTTTATCTCGCACATCATTCGTTTTTTATCATATTAATTATATTTTTACTGAAGTCTTAAATGAAAGATAAAATTTAAAAAGAGAGTACATGGATATCCGTTTCTTTTCGAAGCTCACATAAAGACTCCGATTGGTAGGAATTAATTAAAACAATATGTTTCCCTTATATAAATTAAACAAATTATAGAAACAATTCTTTAAAATGAAATATGTATTATAATAAACCATATACTATAATTCTGGCCATAATATTATTTATAAAATCACGCTATAGTCAAAATAAAAATCAACAAGAAATATTTTTGCATGAAATAATAATTTTAAATTAAGCAAATAATATAATCCATATCAATATTATAGCACTATTTATCAAGCATATGTGTACCTATGTCAAGTAAAGCAATGATCATGAAAAGTTTATGAAATGTACAGTCCAAGATAAATTCATCAATATTATATAATTAATTCAGAAGTATATAATTATCATAATACTTCCTTTAGACTTTCAAGTTGTGTTTCTACTTTTATGTATTAAAAATAAGTAATAGATTTCCCGCATCATGCATGTCAAAAGTATAAACAATTAACTTGTTTCATTTGCATATGAATTATTTTATAATTTGTTACCCTGTGTATATAACAAATATAAAGAATAATTTGTTTTTCAATAATGTATTATTTGCACATAAATTAAAATTAATGATTGCTCGGTTATCCAAAAAAATTAACGCATGTTCTATCTCACAGTTAAAGCCAGTGTATTATTATCCAAAAATAATAAAAAAAATTAAAGCCTGTTCTATCTCATAATTTTTAATTTTTAATTTTAAAATTTATATGTTATATATGAATAAATTAGAATTTTAAAAATAACATATTCTAATTTAGAATTTGCTAAGCCTTGTACGTATTAACAATATATACAACAACTTATTTCATTTTTAAATTTTTTTACCAGTGCACACTAAAAACATAAATAATATACCATGTGTATATTAAAAAATATAAAAAATATTATCCCCATTATTAAAAACATAAAAAATAATTTATTATTCTAGCATATATGTTTCCCATTTAAATTAAAATTAATTTTTCATCTTGCACACATGAAAATGCAAACAATAGATTATTTTTTTAATGTTTATTTAGCTTTATATTTTACTCTCTAATTTATCATCTTGTGTATAAAAAAATGTAAGCAAAAAATTAATTTATTTAAAATATGTTGTTTCATGTAAATTAAATCTCATAAAAAATTAGTGGGTTGCATATTTACTCTTCTTTATACTTTATATAAATTAAATTTGTAATGTTATTACATTTGTCGTACCCATCATTTTTACTGTAATTCTTATATATACCACTACTTAGCTTTTACCGGTAGGTTCCACATATTTATTAGGGTGTGTGCCATGTGATGTTTCCATATATAAAAACTAAACATATAAATATTCATATATAATTTTTTTGAAAAAATAAATTTCAAATTACTGTTGATCTAGCTGTAGATGAATTTGATATACTATACAAATATATATGATTTATTTAGCGCAGATTTCATATGATCCTTCCATATATAAAAACTAAAGAAATAAATATTAATATATAATTTTTTTAAAAAATAAATGCCAAATTACTGTAGATCCGCTTTACTATTATACAATACAAGATATGAGATTTTGTGTAATATACAACATCTACACTAACTAAAGTATGCTTGGATTTTGTTTGGCTTTTCCGTTAGAGCCTCCAAATATTAGCTTGCAAAATTAATTTTCCAGAAAACACATGTTTGTAGGTATGGCTAAAGTGCCATTCGTTCCTCAAACATTAATTTTCTCAATACAAGTGAAAGGCAGCTTTTTCGAAACCTGGGATTTTTGACTCCGGTCCTCCTTTTTGGACAAGGGTTCCCCCGACGTGCAAGGACTAGAGATATTAATGCAGTTGGTCTGGTTTATTTGCTTTTGATAATTACTTGGGATATGCTATTCTCCGTCTCAGCCAATGACTCGATCCAAAGTTACATGTTCCGTCATGTGTCGTGTCATGCAAGTAACTTAATTTTTATTTTATATTTTTCAAAAAATCACTTCTATTTACAATTCCTTAAATTTTTTCTTTTAAAATTTATGTTAATAAATATAGATAAATATAAAAAGTCATTTCATTCTTGGACTATTTCAATAATTTAGGTCACGTTTAGTTACTAGAAAGGAATGAAATTAAATTGAATTTATTAAAAAAAATAAAGGTAAAAATAAGATGATTAAAAGAGATAAGTGAAAACATGCATAAAAGGACAAGGATAATTTAATTTATGAGATTGTAAATCATGATTCATGAAATTTTCTAAGGGTGTAAAAATTCTCACATTTGTAATATATATTAATGAATTTTATCATGTTTACCGTGAGAAGAAGAGGGTGATGTAGTGCACTTTTATCTTTAATTTTTTAATATATGTCATTTCATTTTTTTTTTAGTAATCAAATGGGACCTTACCTATCTCTGAAAAGAAGAGGGTTACTAGATAGAAAAATGGATGCATCTCTACAATCAAAACATTCACTTCAAAAGCCTAAAAGAAGAGGGTCTGGGGCTTACAAGAATGAATTTGGTAAACCAAGCTTTGTTGGCCAAATAGATTTTGGAGTGTTATCCGTTGAGGCAAATTCCCTTATTCATCCCATACTCAGGAGCAAATACTTGGATTTAACTTCCCCAAAAGTAGTCAAACAATCACATAGCACTTCTTGGATATGGAAAGGAATTTTGAGCTGTTTTTATCTTGTTGCCTCTAAATTAAAGTGGATAATAGGTAATGGAAAATCTGTTCCAATGAGTTCCCCTTTTTGGACCCCCAGTGAGCAAAAACTTTATGGAAATTACACTAACGTTAGAGTTTCAGATCTTATGGCTTACTTTTCAAATCTATTAAAGCCAATGGAATGGAATGTTAGTCTAATCACTAGTTTCTCAAATAGACTCAACTTGCATCAATCCTTGTCAATCCCCATTTCATTTAAGGAAAGTATGGACAAATTAGTATGGTCAGCCAAGTCAAGCTCTTACACAGCTAGATATTATTTCAAGATCCTTTCTTATGGTTATCAACAATTCGACTCTTTCTGGAAATTCCTTTGGAAGCTTGAGCTCTCAAATGAAAAGGCTGATTTTTGTGCGGAAGCTACTTACAGAGTCATCCCATCCTTAGATGTTACTATTTACTCATAATCTAATTAGCAATAAATCTTGTGTGTTTAGATGCCGTCAACTAAAGAGTATTCAACACCTTTTCTTAGAATGACCTTTTTAAGAGCAATATCATTTGGTGCTTTATCTATTAATTCTATTGCTCCATCTGAATCTCTAAGAAAGGCCAAGAACCTACTTTTCTTCTTTTTACAAGGCAATGACAACATAATGTTCTTGAAAGTCATATTAATCATCGATTCGATATGGGATAACAGGAACTTAGTCCTACATAATGGTACTAACCCTATGCCAAATAGAATTGTCAAAGATAGAGAATAAATTAACCTACTTGGCATATACATGCGACCTAATTCCTTTCAAGGGAGATGGTAACTTCAATTTTAGAGCATCTATCTTTTAGGGATATCGTTTCATCATCACAACCCATTCATTTGGTAAACCGGCATCTACTGTGTAAGAAACAAAAGAAAAAGGAAGAATTGATGGTCCAGATTGCTTTTTCCTACATAAATTACTACATGCAAACTTTGTCTTGGGTTATAAACAGAGCATCTAGAATGAATAAATAGAGCTTCACTTTGGACTGCATTTGACGAGCCTTGAATTGGATTGGCAGCATGAAGTCAAGATTTCCTCCAGAAGCATCATCGATTGCTATAATTTACATATCTCAAACAAGTTTTTTTTAGTGACTCAGAGGATACTTCTTTACATGTGATAGCCGAAGACCTTGCATCTTTATTTTATTCTTTTTCCTCTATTTCTTTTTCTTTAGAAAAAGTTGACTAAACGGTCTTATCTATTTGGCTTCTATGTTAGATACTTTGTTTTTAATATGTTTATTGATGTTAATTAAATATCCTTTTTTATATATGAAAATAATTTAACTATCTCTCTATAATTCTTATGAAATAAGTAGAAGTGTTTTATTTTCAAGATAGCAGAGAAGCATGCTAATTTGTTAGCAATTTATCATTCATGTTGGCTTATATGATAGCGTGACAAGTTGTGAGCTTGCAAGACAAATGTAAGTTTTCATCTCGCCACTTCTCATTCTCGTAAGAGCCATGTAATAATTGAATGGAAAATATTGAGAATGCATGATTTTTTAGTGAATGCAGAAGGGGGAGACGGTGGTGACAAGCAGAGGGAGGAAGGAGGTGGTGATGAGGTTTAGGCAGAATAAATGTGAAAATGAAGGAGATGGAGAGGTGTTTGATTAAATTGATGGAAGGGAAGGGAGTGAGGATTACATTTTTTTTTTTTTTTTGGCAATCTCAATTACCACATGATGTGATTGGAAATGGCCTTCACGGATAAAATAGCAACCAAACGGTTTACAAATGAAAATTGATTACATGTGATCCAATCAAATGGGCCTTTAAGTATACCCAGGCCTAACAAGCTAGAATGCAGAGTCAATCATATGTGGTGAACAACAATAATAAACACATGTATGACTTAGTTAAAAGCCAGTACAATATAATGTAAATACTTATAAAAACCATACACCGAATACATTATTCACTCGATATAGAACTGCAAATGATATTTCATAAATAAATAATGCAATATTTATGAATAAATCGTATATATCGCACGCAATTCATCAATAATAATTTTTATACTATAATTTAAAAATAAGATTATAAATGGTATTTTCATTTTTAAACTCGCTCGTTTATAATAGCAGCACCTTCATTTGCAATTGCATGGTAGTGACGCTAGAAAGAAGAAAACCAGGGGCATTGCTGGTAATGCTCCTCACAGTTTCCGAATACCAACTCACTGACCCGCCGACTCAGCCTCTCCCACCGATTGCTTCCCCCCCCCCCCCCTCCCGCAACTCCCCCAAAATAGAAAAAAAAAAAAAAAAAAGTCTCCCTGCCTTGTTTCTTTCTCCTATCGATCTTCAGCATCTGTTTTCAACTTCCCATCTATTTTGCTTTCCTAGCGATGCGAGGCCATGATCGGATTAACACCTGTCTTCCGGACGAGCTCATCGTTGAGATCTTCCGCCGCCTTGATTCCAAGTCCTCCCGCGATGCCTGCTCCCTCGCCTGCAAGCGCTGGCTCCGCCTTGAGCGCCTCAGCCGAGCAACTATCCGGATCGGTGCTACCGGTTCGCCCGACCTATTCGTCAGCCTCCTGGCAAGCCGTTTCTCCGATGTCAAGAATATCCACATTGATGAACGCTTGTCGATTTCTCTGCCTGTTCAGCTCGTGAGTCACCTGATTCTGATATCAACTGTATTTTCATCTATGTTTCTGGATTTGAATAGTTGGCTCTAGCTTATTACAAATACAATGTAATTTTTGATTCGATGAGATTACACGGATTTGGAGTTCGGGAAATTTGATTGGTGGAAATTATCTGTGAATTTGTTTGATTTCTTTCCATTGGTTTGAGTAGGGGAGGAGGCGGGCAACCGATAATTCTACGGTTTCATCGCTTAAGCTGCGTTTTGTGACTGAAAAAAGTGGAAGTGAGGATAGCGACTTTGATTCGATATGTTTATCAGATGCTGGGTTGGCCGCTCTAGGTAAAGGCTTTCCGAAGCTGGAGAAGTTGAGCTTAATCTGGTGTTCTAATGTCTCCAGTGAGGGATTAATATCCCTAGCTCATAAGTGTAGTTGCCTGAAAGCGTTGGATTTACAGGTATTCTTTTTTGTGTTTATTGGACCTGCGACTCTATAGACAAGCTAATTTGTTTGAGGGCACACACATAATTGAATTTAATGCACGTGACATATATTTATAGAGGATAGAGCCTCAGTTCTCGTTTTACTGCGATCAAGTGGCCATATTTTGCTCCGTTCCATAATTTCTATTGCGCCCTAGTAAACATTGCTATTGAAGTTAATTTGCCACCTAGAGACTAAGTTTATGTCCTCTTTAGCCTTGATACTAACACTAATTTTCCCTGTCGATGTGTTGTCTCCTTATCGCTATCAATATTTAACAATAATGCATGCTTATAACTATGATTATAACCCTATATTTTTCTCTAGGGCTGTTATGTTGGAGATCAAGGTCTGGCTGCTGTTGGGCGGTGTTGCAAGCATCTTGAAGACTTGAATCTGCGTTTCTGCGAAGGCTTGACTGACAAGGGTTTGGTTGAATTAGCCTTGGGCGTGAAAAAATCCTTAAAATCTCTGGGTGTGGCAGCTTGTGCCAAAATAACTGACATCTCAATGGAAGCAGTAGGAACACACTGTAGATCCCTTGAGACATTGTCGTTGGACTCTGAGTACATCAACAATAAAGGGGTGCTTGCTGTGGCTGAAGGATGTCCCCATTTGAAAGTTCTGAAGCTGCAATGCATCTATGTCACAGATGATGCTTTGAACGCTGTAGGAAATCGTTGTCTGTCTTTGGATTTATTAGCTCTCTATAGTTTTCAGAAATTTACTGATAAGTAAGTTGCTTCCCACAAATTCCTTCCTCTTGAACTCACTTCATATGACAGTGGTTAAAAACACTCAAGAATAACATGTTAATCTAATTTCTTATGCAAGTATTTTATTATTATGAGACGCACTGGGTTAAATCCATATTGCAATCTTGCAAGCACTGTTATAGAGTTGTGACTCTGTTGACCATTCCTTGGTTAGGCTAAATTTAAGAGGAGGAAGCTGTATTCTAGCAATTGTACTTTGACCTTGTCTGTTTATACAACGATTAAGGAAGTACGAACTGCAATTTTCTTTTAGCGTCATAATCCATTATCATGTGTCTGATAATTAACTACGCATTCTCTTATCTTTTGAGATGGATTGGTACGTTGTTATTTTTTACATTTTCTGCTGTCTTACCTTCAGGGGTTTAGGTGCAATTGGGAGCGGATGTAAGAAGTTGAAGAACTTGACTTTAAGCGATTGCTATTTCCTTAGTGATAAGGGTTTGGAAGCAATTGCTGCCGGTTGTCAGGAACTTACACATCTTGAAGTCAATGGGTGCCACAACATTGGAACTATGGGAATAGAATCAATTGGAAAATCTTGCCAGTATGCTTTTCTTTAAGCTCTTTTATGTGTAAAAATATACTGGATGCATTGAACTGGGAGTCACGTGTCTGCAACAAAGTCAACTAACAGGGTTGGAACGAAGAAATTGAAGTTTGTGGATGCCAACTAATTTCTTCTGGTGGATAGTTGCCCTAAGATCATTTGAACGCTTTTTTAATCATTGAATAAAGCATTGTGAAAGGTTTTGATACTTATTTTGTTTGGGGACTGTGTCTGTTAGTAGTTGGCCGCGGCATGCATTTACTGATGGCCTGCTGTTTAGTCAGTAGAGCTTTGGGGGTCTGATTTCTGTCAGTTCTTGGCGAGTGACTATGTTTACAGAAGATGCAAGCTTTTATCTTCATTTTCATGTCCACTGTATTTATTATCCATGTTTCATGAAAGTTTGTGAGGAAAAAAGCACATTCAGTCACTATATAAAATAATTTTATATAGCCATTATGAGAAATACCAGTTGATGATTTTCCTGTGTCAAGTGAAATTAGTGATGCCAAGCAATCTGTTCATGGTGTGGACATTATACTTTCTGGCACAAGTTCTAATACTGCTGAGTTATTTCTATTGCTCTTCCACACATGATGTTAACTTCAGCTTTGTGAATGAACAGTAATCTCACTGAGTTGGCATTGCTTTACTGCCAAAGGATTGGTAATGATGCCCTTCTTGAGGTTGGGCAGGGCTGCAAATTCTTGCAAGCTCTTCACTTGGTAGATTGCTCGAGCATTGGAGATGCAGCCATGTGTGGTATAGCTAGTGGTTGCGGGAATTTAGAGAAGCTACATATCCGTCGATGTTATGAGGTAGTCAGTCTCTCTCTCCCTCTGTCATCCACTTGGGAAAAAAAAAAAAGCAAAAGCAAAAGAAGAAGCAAAGTAAAGAGAGGAACTTCCTTTGTTTCTTGCTTCTCTTTCAGTCACATAGTTGTTGTCATGATTCCTTGTCTTTTTATTGGATTTCGAATCAGTGTTTGGAGGTTGCTTTAAAGAAGGATAGGGTTAGATTACGCATTGATGATTCTAGGATTTATAGCCTAACAGCAATGAGATATGTTTTCATGATGAAATATTGACTGTCCAGGTGTAATTTGAAGTGCCATGTTGTGTTTAGTATGAATGCCAAACATATGTTGAACACTTACATTTCTCCTCTTTTATAGAGTCTAGGCAAGTTATTATGTCGATAGATTATAGGACTTCTGTAGCTTATGAAAAGTTGGCATAAGTTGCCTCCTTCCTATTGTAAAGATGTTATGAACTGCCCGAGTTATGGTGTTTACTGATCTTCTCCATTGCTTTCTCCTTCATATTAAGGCAAATAGGTAGTGCGGTGCGCCTCACTTTTTTGGCTTTTGACCTAACTACTGTCTTGTGCTATTTTATTTATTTATTTATTTACTGTGTTATCAACTGGGGGTCCCTCATATTTACTTAAGTTATTAATTCTTACAAGTTTTTAAGAAGTCGCTTATGTCTTCTCTCCTAAGAAAGAGAAAGTGAGGAATATTTATATTATTTAACGCATTATAACTTTTAGAAGAATTTCCACCTTAGACACTTGTGAGAAACTATGATATGAGAAACAATACAAAGCTACATTTTCTAATAATCTAATTGACTAATTAATTATATGACAGACAGTCATATGTTGCTTTCTCTCTCTCTCTCTCTTTTAGATTGGGAACAGGGGAATCATTGCTGTTGGTCAGCATTGCAAGTTTCTAACAGATCTTAGCATTCGATTTTGTGACAGGTAAAACTTTAGCCACAGCTTTTGTTTTCCCTTGCTCCACTGAAATTCTTAGTTTTATTCATGCAATTTTATGTCGAGACTTCATATAATGTTTTCTGAGTCTTTTTTCTCTCCCATAAGCGAACTGTAGGTTGCTTAAGAATATAGATGATATAATTATGGAAAATGTCCACTTTAACATCCTTATTAAATTTTTAGGGTGGGGGATGAGGCCCTTATTGCAATAGCTGAGGGCTGTTCCCTTCATAATCTGAATGTTAGTGGTTGCGTTCAAATTGGAGATGCTGGAGTAATAGCTATTGCAAGAGGGTGCCCTCAACTTTGTTATTTAGATGTGAGTGTGCTACAGGTGTGTACTCATCTCTCCCCCCACTCTGTCTCTTTTCATCCCTCTCCATCCTGCTATTGGTACTTTTATTCATTCTCATTTGATTGGTAGACAGCATTCCCATTTGATTGAGTTTTTTCCCCCCATATTTAAAGCGTGAACATGGTGTATCATTATGTTTATGTAATGCTTACGTGGAACATGCATTCGGGAGTTAATTAGACTTGTCTGAGCTGATGGACGTTTTCTTTTAAAGTTTTACTGCTACCGTGTTTTAGCTGAAGTTTGTTTTCTATATCATTTTACACAATGGCAGGATTTGAGTGACATGTCAATGGCTGAGTTGGGGGAGCACTGTCCAATGCTGAAGGAAATAGTGCTCTCACACTGCCGTCAAATAACAGATGCTGGTATTTCCCATCTGGTGAGAAATTGCACCAAGCTGGAGTCCTGCCACTTGGTTTATTGCCCTGCCATAACTTCAGTTGGAGTGGCCACTGTGGTTTCCAGCTGTCCTAACATAAAGAAGGTGCTGGTTGAGAAGTGGAAGGTTAGCCAGCGGACCGAGCGTCGTGCACGCTCTGTCATTTCCTACCTCTGTGTCGAGCTCTAGACATTTCACACCTTCTCCGCTGTCTCTTGTACATTCCATAGCTAGCGATATGTATATGTATCTTCCTGACATGAAAAGCTGTTGCCCCTTGGCGGTTTGAGCTTATGTCTTGGCTTTCAATTAGGTTGTATGAAAATTGCAGTGCCTGGTTGGTTGCCTTTGATAAATAAGTGTTCATATCTGTAGATATAGTAGCCACAACTCACTAGATTATTATCACAGACAAATCTTGTTATGGAGATGAAAGATTTGCTTCTATCAGATTGCTGCGATCACACACACTGACGCACTCACAATAATGCGACCAAAAAAACCATTCTCATCGTGTAATGCATTATTTATTTTGAACATAATTAATTATTTAATATATTATGATAATATGTTTAGTATATTATTTGACCGAAGAAATTAATATTCAAATTTTTGAAGAAATGCTTTCTGTTGGTTTATTTTTTAAAAGTAAAATTTCTTAATTTAATACTCTAAATGTTTTGTGAATTAAAATAGTTTTCAAATTCTTTGGCAAAAGAAAAAAAGAAGTTATCAAAATCAAAACTACTTGACAAGTTTTCTATGGCAAGTAAAAATTTTATGTTACTATTTCAACTTGGCGAGGCATTTTAGAATTTGTTTGAAATTATTTTTATTTTATTGATATGAGACTTGATATTTTGTAGAAAATGTTTTAAGAACAAAAAAAAATAATGAAAACATGTATTTTTTGCATTCTCTCTTGCTCTTTAGAACAGTAGTTTTAGGGCCCTTAAAAATGTTTTTGTTTTTTTTTAATTTTTAGAATAATATTTGATTTTTTTAAAACACTTTTTGAAAATATTTTTTTAAATAGATATTTTTATTTTTTTTTGTTTTGTAGTATGGAAAATTATTTTCAAAGCAGGTTGCCAAATAAGCTTCATACTTGAAATGATGATATTTTCCAAATTTCACAAAGTAAAACGAACCAAAATAAGTAATATGCCTTGTGTATTGCACTTGCTTTGATATCAATTGAACATCAGTCTCTTTGTTTTTTTTTTTTTTAAAATATTTTCCTCATAATTACATTCACTTAACATCTACAAGCATATACCTTTTATTTTAGAGAGAATTACATCCAAGAACCTTCAAGGAGAATTATTCACATATAAGAATCAATACACAATTGTTTATTATTAAAATGATAATAGAAACTTGTTTTTTCTTGAATATTGACTTGTTGTTGGTTCTTGTATGCAAACAATTTTCATGGGAGGTCATTGGATATGAATCTCCTTTTATTTTTTAGTATAATCATGTTTATAACTAACAGAAATTATCAATGTTGTTCATATAAAATACAAAGTTTACAATTTTTTTACCAACAAAATTTATAAGATATATGTAAAATTTGTAAGAGATCTATTCACAAATTTGCGTTAACACAATGGATTAGACTATGACATGTATGAAAAATATTACATGAAAAAGCATTATAAATCTTGAACTCTTGAAATATGCAAAATATATCCTAAATTTCTAAATTTTGAGCAAATTACCCCGAGCCATTTATCAATAGAATGTTGACCCTTATGGAGAAGGTTTGACCAAAAGTTACCTAGGTGACATGCCATATGTGAATTACTAGGATAAGTTGAAGGGCATGTTGATCATTGTCCCTTAAATTTGGTGGTGAAATGATGCAATTTCTTTTGCTTTTGAAATGAGTAAACCCTACCTTGTGATTTGCAGAGGAACCCACAATCGAGGAACTAAATTTTTAAAGGAATGTGATTGACTCGACCTTGCAATTTTAGTCTGGAGCGAACCAGATGTGAGTTTGATAGTGGATTTTGGTATTCTAAACTTGGGTGATTCAGGTCACAGTGAAATCACCTTATTGCCCTTGTGTATTTTGTATTTTTTTAGGTACGTTGGATAGTGACAATGACCATGATGGTATCGTTAACTTCATTGAGGAGGAAGACAGTGATGGCAGTGTAATGGATGTCGTCGAGCATGATGACAATAGTGAGAAGGACGTGGTGGAAGAAGATAGTAACAGTGAAGAGAATGGCAATGCAATAGGAGTAGGTGAAATCTTAACCCAAGTATGCTTTACTATAGAAAATACTAAGGAGATATGGATATGAAATTCACGTAGATTGTTTGGGGACATAAGAATATTTGGTATAAATAAAGAGGAAAATAAGGAACAAGTAGTGCGTTGTGAGAGTGAGAAAACACAAGATGAAGAGGTGATATGCGTAGAGAATTTTATGTTGAATGCATTTGAAAGGATTAATGGTGGTATAAGTGAGAATGATGATGGGGGTATTGATACAAAATAATATCTTCATGATTGTTATACTGGCATAGGAAATGATAATAGGAAAGAGAATGAGCATGTATATGAGGAGCAAGAGGGTAGTGAAAATAGTAGTAAAGATGACAGCGAAGAAAGTGACTACTATGACCTTGTGTAGGAAGATGAAGGTGTTAGTGATAGTAAAAAGGATTACAAAGAGGAAGATGGTTATAATGGACCATAGTTGGATCCATATGGGGATGATGGGCCTTTGGAGGAAAGTAGAGGTCCAACATATCAAAGTGGCCCACTTTGTAGTTGGTATGACTTTTCCTAACCTAACAGCACTTAGGAAGGCTTTGGACACATATTTTATCAATGTTAGAGTGAATTTGAATTGCATTAAATCTGAGCTTGTAAATTAAGGGGCAAATGTCAAGTAGGATGCCCTTTTCTTTTGTATGCAACCTTTACAAAATCCAAGCTTGGATTAGAAATTCAAACCTTATGCATGGAGCATAGGTGCATTAGAGTTAAGAACCATAAGGCTTCTGCTAGATAGACAATTGACATTTTTAAAGGTAGAGTGCATGAGTGCCCCAAATTTAAAGTGACGAACATAAAGAAGATATTTGAACACAATTTAAAGGTGAGTGTTAGTGTATACAAGTGTATAAGGCCTAAAAGATTATCATAGAAGAGTTGAAAGGTATTTACAATGATGAGTTTGGGAAATTGAAAGCTTGTTGCCATAAACTTAGACATTCAGATCCTGAGAGTGATGTAAGCATATAACTGAGTAAAGAAGCTTTGCAATAAGGGAAAAGGGTGTTTAGCAAATTTATAGAATGCATGTAAGGTAAACTAGTTTTTTTAACATGTTGCTATTTGTGACTAATATATGCTGGAAAACTATCTGAATAATGTTTTTCTTGGAAAAGGTTGAGTTGTAGGCCATTTATTAGTCTTAATGGCACTTTTTTTAAGGGGAATGAAAAAGGGATCCTTTCTACTGCCATTGGAATTTATGTAGATGATTCACTTTTCCCTATTACAATTAGCTTGACATAAAAAGAAAATACTATCAATTAGACTTAGTTTTTAGAATTGCTTAGGAATTCCTTAAGACTTGGTAATAGATCAAGGGTTATTATTATGTCTGACATGCAAAGGGTTTGTTTTAATTTTGTTGATTTTAAAAATCTTGGTAATATATATATATATATATATATATATAAAAGATGTTATGCAAAATGTTAATAGCCAGATGTTATGCAAAATGTTAATAGCCAATTCTTCTTTTCATCATAGGGGCTAAACATTGTAGTAAGAATTGTTCTCTTCGAAGCCAAGCAAAGGTTATATGTAAGTTACATATATGCTAATTGGAGCAAGAAGTGAAAGGAAAACGAATTAAAGAGAAAATTCTTTACCATAGCTTGAAGTACATATAAAGAGGAATTCCATGACAATTTAAAGGAGATTGGACGCATTAGTAAGCATGCTATAAAGGCAATGATAAGTTACCTAGTCAAGTATTGGGTTAGGGCCTATTTCACACCTAGGTGCTAGTCTTAAGTGGTAGACAACAATATTAGTAATAGCTTTAATGCTTAGATAGATGAATATTGTTATTTACCTGTCATTAGAATGTGTGAAGGCATTAAGTTAAAGCTAATGATTAAGTCAGTTGAAAGTGGCAAAATTGTTAGGAGATGGAAGGAAAACTATAGCTTTAAGTGTTTAGAATTGTTTGAAAACAATAGGTTATTGGCAATCAAATGTAATGTTGCTTTTAATGGAGACAAAAGTTATGAGGTTAGTGATAGCCTAGATAAACATAATGTGTTATCAGAGCAAAGATGATGTATATATAAAGCATGGAAGCTGACTAGAATCCTATGTCAGCATGGTATTTGCACAATATTCCATGCAAATGTTAACACCAATACTTACATTTCTTGTTGTTTCCATAAAGAAGCATATAGGGCTTCATATAGGACCAAATTTGAACTTGCAAGGGGATAAATTTTGGAAGTTTGATATATTTTAACCTATTGAGCCACCCCCAATAGAAAAATTACCAAGAAGGCCAAAGAAAAAAAAAGACAAAGAATAGAAGAAAGCATGAGGAGATTGGTGAGAGAAACTACAAGACAATTTGTTATTACCTGTTGTGATGTCCCTTCAACTGTGATTGATAACTTATCAAAAAGAGGACTCCAATGAAATGTACTATGTGCAAACAACAAGGTCATAATAAGAGTTCGTGTAAACAAGTTATCTCCTATACTTGTTCTAATAGTTAAATATTGCTTTAATTGTTCAAATTGTTTACTTTTATTGCTTATTCTGTAAGCAGCTCCGGGGACAAGTAAGACAAAAGGGAGGAAAAGAGGAAAACATAAAGCTACTTAACAAGAAGGATCAAGCATTAAAATACATGATGAGGCCACTCAACAAGAACAAATGATGACTCAGACATAATATAGTAAAGTCACTTAGCAATCTCGGAGAAGGACTCGCTCTAGTATTATCGATAGGTCTAGAAATGTAGTTGGCTATGGTATTAGAGTAGATAAGACAACAAGGATGACTATTTATAATGGATCGTTATTAATTTTGAATGCGTTTTTGTCAAAATTTGAATGACTTGTTGTTTATATACTTGTTTCATTAGACCCATGCTTTCAATCATTAACAAGTATTTATTTGAGTTTTGATGATAATTCATTCGAAATTAATAAATTAGAAAAATAGATAGGATAGGCTTAATTATACAAGCGTTAGTCCTTCATCAACAAGTATTCATTCAAGCTTTTAACAACAACTTGTTCGACATTAATAACGATTCATTCATATTTTAACAAAACACTGATAGGATGTGCTTACTTATACAAGTGTTAGTCATTCATCAATAAATATCTATTTGAGTTTAACAACAACTCACTTAAAATTAACAATAATTCATTCGGGCTTTAATAAGTTAGAAAAATGGATAGGATAGGCCTAATGGTACAAATGTTAGTCCTTCATCAATAAATATCCATTCAAGCTTTTGCAACAACTTATTTGAAATTAACAATAATTCATTCGAATTTTAACAAAAAGTTGACAGGATGGACTTAATTATACAAGTGTTAGTAATCTATCGACAAGTATTTATTTACATTTTGACAATAATCATTTCATTAACAATAATACATTTATATTTTAATAAGTAAAATGTATGGAGCCTTAAAGCTCCCAATATATAATTGACCATGTTAAATTAACAAGTAACATTAGTAAAACAATAAGTGTTATTCTCAAATTAACAACACACCATTATATTATAATTTAAAAGTGATTTAAAAACTTGGTTACTACATATATATATATACATATATATATATATATATTTTGCTATATATATTAATGGGCTTGGTTAGGTGGCTAAAGAGTTATGGGATCAAAACCCTTGGTCACCTTTGCCAATTAAAAAAAATAAAATAAAAGTGTCATTAGTATCAGAGTTTCAATGATCTTATAGGTGACAAGGGGTCTAGCAACCTCACCAACAATAAGGTCTCTAGTTGGGGTTGGGTGGCCAACGTTGGAGACAAAGGGATGGCTTTTTTACTATTTTATATTTTAGGAATAATTTGATCATTTCATGTAGAAAAATTAATAAAGAACTTTAGTAAAATTTTAAAATTTATTAATTTTTGACTGATATAAATATATTAAAGTAGTCATTGGTTGATATTTTTTTTATTTTTTAATCAAAGAAGTAAAAGTAATACAATAATAAAAAAAAGAATGATAGATAGGTCCTAATACAATTAATTATTTTAAATTAAATTCCAAATATCTAAACTCTATATAAGTTTGTTTCTTTCATTTTGTAATTTTATTATTATGAATTTATAATTTATTTTTTAAGTTTTAATATGATTAAAAAATAAATAAGTTTATTTTTATTAAAATTTAAAATATAAATTATAAATTTATCATAAAAAATTATAAAATTAAAAACTAAACTTATAAATTGTTAGAGTTGTGCAGGCAGAACTTAATTTGAATTAGGAACCTCTGTGTCCTAACAGAAACAAATAACGAGACGGATTCGTCCCCGGGTTCCACGAACACGAGTGCGGATGAACGGTGCGTTAGCAGGATTCTGGACATAATTTACAGATTCAGAACTGCTTAGGCTTGGCTTTCACTGTTTACCACCTGCGTCATCGGAGTTGTAGCCGGCCAGCCATGCCCGCAGGTTGTAGTGTCAGAGCAATCTGGATTCTCAACAACCTCGATGCTGTTGTTTTCTCCAGGTATTCCTTTCCTCATCCCTATTCCCCTTCAAAAGTTGATTGAACCCTCTTATCACAAGCTTCTCCAATTATCGTCCTGCCCCTTTCAACTATAAACACACTATTCGATTGTCTTCGTTGGATTTGCTTTTGTATATGTTGTTACTTCCTTGGCCATTTTCATGGGCTATTTATAGATTGAAATTCTCAATTTCAAGTTTTTCCCCCTTCGTTTTCCCATTGTTTATATCAGGAGATTTCCGGTTGTAGAGAAGCGTTGGCGATCTGCTTGCAAGAGCGAGAATGATAAATCAAGTGGGGATGAGTTGAATTCAAGTGCCAGTGTGTATTCCATGTTACCCAGCGACTCCGAGCTCGCTGCTGCATTTCTAGAAAGAAAGGATAGGTTAGCTGTTGGAAATTTGAGGGCCGTTGTATCTTATCTTTTTTTCTTTTCTATTTTAATTTTTCTTGCTGTTCATGGATGCACCATGGGAGTTGCTTGTCAGCTGGTGATTCTACTGATTTTGTGTAGGGAAGGATCTGCGCGTGGGTTTGGCATGCGCTTAAGCCAATCATCTCCCGGATCGGATTCTTGGGTTGATGATCCCATTACACGTTATATCATAGGCCTTTACATTAACAAAGAACAAGAGGGAGATAAAAATCTCTTATGGCCGTTAATCTTGCACTTAAAAGGGCATTACGTTATACTTGTTCTGCCGCTGGTGGAGCCTAGGCATTTGAAAGGATATGCAAAGTTATGTAAAAGACCTGATTGTGGAAATGCTCTTGGGGTGGATGATAGTTTGTCTTCGCTCTTGCTTGATCTTCCATCGATCACAGGGTATGGTAAGTTACTTGCAAATTGCTCGTACATTGAGGAATCGCAACATACCAGATGACTATATTTTGCATATACAGCTTCAGGTTCAGTATTTTTTTTTTTTAACAGTTGCTTAGTTTCGTTATTGCTCCCGCAGCTGCTGTTTAGTTTTATTATTGGAAATTAGTGTGTATAATTTGGATGAAAATGTTTGCTGTATTAATTTTTAGTTTTAAAAAAAATTGAACGCTAGTTATAATTGACTCCTTGTGTGCTGAGGATGGTGGTAAATTGGATCTCCCTTATAAGAGAACGCTACTTCATTTTGCTATAGAATACAACAAAAGTATTTCCGTTTTCAATTGGTAATGGTATTAATGACTAACAGGCACTTATTAGAGGAAATAATCAATAGTAACGTTGACATAACCAGGGGTAAATTGATTTTCAGGACTCACGATAAACTGTTGCAATCATTTATTTCTGAATGGCATCAGCATCATGCTCCAATTTTTTGCCTTCTTTATGCATGGTTTAGCTTTGCAATAGTTTTTATATAGTGTTCCTTTACGATAACTTTACAGATAGTGAATAATTTATATGCATTTTATTGTTAGCGCTTCTTTGTGTAAGAAGGTTCTTGGAGTCCTTAAATGGCTCCCATTACCTAGGTGCAAAGTGAGCTGCATATCATGGATATTGCATGTCATAATATCTCATCATATACATATATAAAGCACCATACCATATGGAGTAGCAGTTCAACATAGAATGCCACAAATTTAAAGCTTGTGAACTTATCAACACAAAATTTTCTTTATACCACTCACTCATTGTCTTCCTTTTATATTTTCTTTCCTTTTTTTCTGTCAGGGTTTAGAATAGTGTATATGTGATAAAATACAAACAATCTATTCCCCCCTTCTTGGTCATATATTTATATTTCATAGCTCAATTGCATATCATGGGTAACTAGGTAAGGGTTACTTCTTGGTTTTCACCATTTTGGATTTAAATGGTTGTCAAAAGTGTGCAATCATTTCACTGTCTCTGTATCTATGTAGGTATATTTCACTTGGTGCACTTTCTTCATCGCATTTTATGTGCACCTTTCTTTCTATAAAAATTCTGAATTGATTTCACCTCCATAGTCCTTGAAAGAGCTTCTTTTTACCTTTGTTTAGTGTTGATGTTGGTACTTAATTGGAATAAGGTGTGTTATTTGGATAAAAACTTTGCCTTTCACTTCACAGGGGATTTATGGTAGCACATGTTATTGGTGACATAATTACTGGCGACACAGTAGAACCTGAAGTGGTTGCGAGTACAGCTCCCTCTGTTGGAGGGTTGTTTGATTCACTAACTGGTAGTATAGGGATATCAGGCATCTCTTCCAGGGCAAAACCTGTGGCTCCATCCATCGCATCTTCCTCCCCTGCAAGCACAGCTGCATCTGGAACAGTTATGGCAGATACTCTGAAACTTGGGTCCAAGCTTTTTGATAAAGATGCACTGCGAACATTTATCAGTAGTTCAATGCCCTTTGGTTGGTACTTTTTATTATGGTATTTCCCATCTCGTTATTTTAACTGTTTTTTTATGATTGAGCTGGCATTTGCATGATTCTTGCAAAACATTGTTTTATTTAATATTCAGGTACACCATTAGACCTTAATTATCCCAACCTTTTTACTATCAAGGCCAATGGCTTTTCAGCATCAGATGTGCCTTCTACAGACCAGAAGCAACCAGCCTGGAAGCCATATCTTTACAAAGGAAAGCAAAGAATCCTATTTACGATTCATGAAACTGTTAATGCAGCTCTGTATGATAGAGATGAGATTCCAGATAATATATCGGTTTCTGGTCAAATAAATTGTCGAGCTGAACTAGAAGGAATGCCGGATGTATCGCTTCCCTTGGCTGGATTGAACGCCACAAAAGTTGAGTTTTTGTCATATCATCCTTGCACTCAAGTTCGAGAACAAGGTGCAGATAAGCAGGTTGTGATGTTTTCTCCACCATTAGGGAATTTTGTGTTAATGCGTTATCTGGCAACTAGTGCACCTGGACCACCCTTAAAGGGATTTTACCAGTTGTCAATGGTCTCTGAGGATAAAGGTGCCTTTCTTTTTAAGTTGCATTTGATGGAAGGCTACAAGGCTCCCTTGACAATGGAGTTCTGTAATGTGACTATGCCCTTTCCTAGGAGGAGGATTTTGTCTTTGGATGGGACTCCTTCTGTAGGAACAGTCTCAACTTCTGATCACTCTGTTGAGTGGAGAATTGTGACTAGTGGACGGGGACTGTATGGGAAAAGTATTGAGGTGACTTTCCCTGGAACAATCAAGTTTGCTCCATGGCAACACCAGAGGATTTCTTCGTCAGTTTCATCCTATGTAAGCAGTATTGATGAGGATAGTGACAGTGAGACAGAAAATGCTAGCAACATGGTAAATGAAGAACACTTGATGGAGAAAATGAACAAGGATCTTCCTCCAGTTGATCTTGAGGAGCCATTTTGCTGGCAGGCATACAATTATGCTAAAGTATGATTTCTGAAGTTATGCTTTTCTTTGTTTATGGGGTTTTTCTTCATTGTTGTTTACATTTGTTCGGGGGTAGGTTTTGCTTTTGGTAATTCCTATCACGTGGCCTTCCTTATGTTTAGCATGTGAACGCTCCTGTATGGGATTTGAAAATTGTATTACCTTTCCTTTGGTTATTTGAATTCCTCATCTTGGATGTGCTTCCAGTTGATTACTGCAAGGTTATATTTCATAATTAGTTTGCGAATAATATACTCTATTTTTTTGGTGGGAAAAAGAAATCTCAAATGGATTATGGGAAAGAAGTGTTCAGTGTACGAAAATGAATTTGTGAATTTTCATTCAGACTTTCTCTTTGGCATTGTGGTTGGAAATGTTGTCCTGCCGGAGTCATAACGTTCCACATGACTATACTAAACACTGGGCTGGTGGCAGAGACAAGATCTAGTTCTTTAAGTCAGGGAGACTAATCCTTTGGTCCAATTTTATGTCATTGTTCTAGATTCTAATTTTTCCTATTCTATGCGATCTGATGAGTAGTTAAGTAACATGTTGAGGAATAAATGGGCTTCATTTCTTCCAACTTAAGCTTTTGAGGAAATTGGCCATGTTTTTATTATCTGTGTTAAGGTATTCAATCATGGAAATAAATTATAATGAATATATATTTGTTTTGGATCATGTCTTTGAAAGTGGACGTTCAGATTCTCTTAATAAAAAAGATTCAATTTTCTGATGCATTTTATTTTTATAACTCCTCATTACAGGTTTCCTTCAGGATTGCGAATGGTTCACTAACTGGAATTACCATTGATCCTAGATCTGTAAGTCGGGTCTATTTTGGCTAAAAGAACATTCTGGGATCAAGTTTTAGGGCCCTTTAATTTAGTTTCAGTTTCACAAATGTTGAAATATATGCTTCATTGGCATGGCTTTCTGACCTTTTGTTTGATTACACTTCTATGCCTTATTCTGTAGACTGTAGTCAAACAATACACCTCGCCCTTGCTACTCCGTGGAATGTTCTTAATTTTAGAAACTTGTGGTGATATACCCCTTCCCTTTGTCCTCTTTTGCAATCTATCTGATAGTCTGCCCCTTGTGCAGGTAAGCATCTACCCAGCTGTCAAAGCACCTGTGGAATTTTCAACTCAGGTATTCTTTTACATTATTGGTGTATATTCATAGGATCGGGCGATACATTCGTTCATGCTTACCTTTTATTATTATCTTTGTCAAAACCAGGTTATTTCTGGGGACTATATTTTGTGGAATACTCTTGGCAAGTGTCCATACGTTGCCGCAGAAAAAATGTGAGTACAGGAGTATGAATGGCAATACATGAGCTTTTGCAACTAATAGCAAGGATTCCATCGGATGTGTGATGGAACATCTGAACTGGCATCAGCTGAGTAATTTGATGACAGTCTATTGTTGCCATGTTCAGACATATGATGGCCCTATTTGTGTCGTGTGGCATGATGTGCCGAAATTTTTGTTGTGGATTGAATCGAGAAACATTAGTCTAAGTGAGGAATTGATTGAACTTGTATTACTTGTAGTAGACAGATTGATTTTCCATTTGCAACAGAGTTTTTCTGTGGATCACATTGATTGGGACTATCTCATGTTAGGCTTTCCTGATGTTTACCATTAGTATACCATTGCAGGGCTTAAATCTTTTTCTGGTCGCTCAATGGATGGAGAAATGTTATCCTTACAACAGTGGTAGCAACCTTAACTCCGCCTATGTTTATAGCCGGTCCCAAGCCCGGGTAAAGGAGGAGGGTTGTGTTAGGCCATCAACAGCCAATGTAAAAATTTGTTGAATCTATCATGAACATGGACAATAGACGTTATAATGTTAATGCTAGGTCGTTGCCCGTAAGTAACGCGCTGCATGGCTCGAGTACAGTGATAAGTGAGTTAGAGCCGCTGCATCGGCGCCCGGATGTAGTGTTAAATGAGCAAGGGCTACCGCGTCATTCTGGACGCACGCGGCTAAAGAAGTTAGTCTATAAGAGCAAAATTAGATTTGGTACTTGGAATGTTGGGACATTAAATTGTAAATCTGTAGAGGTTGTAGGGGTTATGATTCAAAGGAAAATCAATATCCTTTGCTTGCAAGAAACAAAATGGCGTGGAGAAGAAGCTAAGGATATTCAAGGTTTCAAACTTTGGTATACAGGAAAAGTAAGTGCACGCAATGGAGTAGGCATCATTATAGATAAGGAGTGGAAGAAGAACGTTGTAGAAGTTAGCAGAATTGGAGACAGAATTATTTCTTTAAAAATGATAATTGGACGTGAGACTGTTAATATTGTTAGCGCTTATGCGCCGCAAGTCAGGACAGAAGCCAGTCTTAAGGAATTATTTTGGGAGGATCTGGAGGGGTTGATTCGACACATACCACAGAGTGAAAAGATTTTTATTGGAGGAGACTTTAATGGGCATGTCGGGAGGGAAGCTGGTCAGTATGCGAGGGTGCATGGTGGTTTTGGTTTTGGAGAGCTAAACAATGAAGGGCAAACTCTTCTTGATTTCTCATTGGCGTATGATTTTAAGATTGCCAACACTTGTTTCAAGAAGAGAGATGAGCATCTCATCACCTACAAAAGTGGAGCCTCAAGGTCGCAGATTGATTTTCTTTTGGTTAGGAACACAGATAGAAAACTTTGTAAAAATTGTAAGGTGATCCCTGGAGATGCTGTAACGACACAACATAGGGTCCTAGTCCTTGATGTGTGTATTATGAGTAAAATCCAAAAACGTCGACAAGTAGTAACACCAAGGATTAGGTGGTGGCAATTAAAAGGTGAGAAGCAAGATATTTTCAAGCGAAATCTTTTGGATAAAGGAATTTGGGATTCTCAGGGAAGTGCTAACATCATATGGGAGGATATGGCTAAAAAGATACGGGAGGTTGCAAAAGTAGTTTTGGGAGAATCGAAAGGTCCTGGTCCGAGAGATAAGGAGTCTTGGTGGTGGAATAATAGTGTACAGGACAAAATCAAGTATAAGAAGAACTGTTTTAAAGCCATACATTTGTGTAACAATGAGGAAAATTGGGAGAGGTACCGTATGGCTAAGAAGGAAACTAAGAGAGCTGTGGGTGAAGCTCGTTCTAAAGCTTTTGAAGAATTTTATAAGAACCTTGAGACGAAGGAAGGAGAGCAAAATATTTATAAGATTGCCAAGAGTAGGGAAAGAAAATCAAGAGATCTAGAACAGGTAAGGTGTATTAAGGATGAAGAGGGAAGAATTTTAGTTACAGATGATGAAATTAAAAATAGATGGGAGACTTATTTTTCTAAACTTTTCAATGATGGAGAGGATTCATCTAGTAACTTGGAGGATTTAGTAACTGGTGAAGGAGAACAAAATTTGTCATTCTATCGAAAAATACGTGATAAGGAGGTAAAGGAAGCTCTTAAGAAAATGGCAAATGGTAGAGCTAACGGACCTGATTGTATATCTATCGAAGCGTGGAAATGTTTAGGTGAAGAAGGGGTGAGATGGTTAACTAAGTTTTTTAATGTGATTTTACGGTCCAAGAAAATGCCTGATGAGTGGAGGAGAAGTACATTAATTCCTATTTATAAAAATAAAGGAGATATTCAGAATTGTACTAACTATAGAGGGATTAAACTCATGAGCCACACAATGAAATTGTGGGAGAAAGTAATTGAGCACAGGTTGAGATTGGAGACAAGTATTTCTGAGAATCAATTTGGTTTTATGCCAGGTAGATCAACTACAGAGGCGATTTATCTACTAAGGGGATTAATGGAAAAGTATCGTTGTAAAGATAAAGATCTACACATGGTTTTTATTGATTTGGAAAAAGCTTATGACCGTATACCAAGAGAAGTGCTTTGGAAAGCGTTGGAAAAAAAGGGAGTACGGATTGCTTATATTAAAGCCATACAAGATATGTATGAGGGGGTAAAAACTAGTATAAGAACGCCTAGTGGTCAAACAAAGGATTTTCCTATAAAGATCGGGCTACATCAGGGATCATCTCTGAGTCCTTATTTGTTCAACTTGATTTTAAATGTTTTGACGGAACATATTCAAGAGGAAATCCCGAAATGTATGCTCTTCGCGGATGATATAGTTCTTATAGCAGAGACAAGAGAAGAGGTTAATTGCAAACTTGAGTTATGGAGGAGGACATTGGAGTCGAAAGGTTTTCGTCTGAGTAGAAGTAAGACGGAATATTTATATTGTAAATTTGATAAAGGACTATTCGAAAATAATTTGGAAGTGAAATTGGGAGATCAAATTATACCTCAAGTGGAAAAGTTTAGATATTTGGGAGCCATTATCCAAAATGATGGCGAAATCAGTGGAGATATTTCACATAGAATTCAAGCTGGGTGGTTTAATTGGAGAAAAGCTAAAGGAGTTATTTGTGACCGTAAGGTGCCTAATAAACTTAAAGGAAAGTTTTATCGTACTGCTATCAGACCGGCAATGTTATATAGTAGTGAATGCTGGGCTCTAACGGGACAGCAAGAGCATAAAGTTGGAGTAGCAGAGATGAGAATGTTACGATGGATGTGCGGACATACACGTAAAGATAAAATTCGAAATGAGCACATACGTGAAAAAGTGAGGGTGGCACCTATTGAGGAAAAAATGGTAGAAAATCGGTTGAGATGGTTTGGGCATGTACAAAGAAGACCAAGGGAGGCACCAGTGAGAAGAGTGGAACATATAACTTTGAGTCCGATTAAGAGAGGTAGAGGAAGGCCTAAGAGAACACTCTTGGAAGTTGTTGAACGTGATCTCTTAATTAATAATATTTCTAAAAGCTTAATAAATGATAGAGCACAATGGCGTCTTGCAATCCATGTAGCCGACCCCACCTAGTGGGATAAAGGCTTGTTGTTGTTGTGTTGTTGTAGTGGTAGCAACCTTATTTTCTGTATGATTTTCTGATATTTGTAAGATCATTGTACTGAGCTTGTTGAATGCTTCATGTATCAAGATGTGGAATGAAGTGAAATAGACATTGCTGTCTCTACATGAGCTGAGTGATTTTCTGTAGCAGCAGGGTTTTGTTCCCCCATAGGCTACAGTGAAATCAATTCCTTCATTTGCAGCATCTCTGCCAACATGAACTCTGTAAAATCTCCTGCCTGCTTTCTGATGAAGATAAATACTAGGGGTGCTCACGGGACGGGATCGGGACACCCCCATCCCGTGTCCCGTCCTAAAAAAAAGATTGGGACTGAATTTTGGTCCCGTGTCCCGTCCCGTCCCGAAAGTCGTCCCGTCCTGTTAAGAGTCGAGATGGGACTGGGACAAGATCGAGACGTCCCGCCATCCCGATAAATGGAATAATATCAAAAAAAGATCTGAACAATAATGTTCATTAAAGTTTTAAATCATATAATTTATTAAGTTTAAAATCAAAACAACACAAGCACATAAATAACAATAATTTAAAATTAGTTATTGAATTATATTAATCACAACTACATATTATAATAACAAATACAAGTGATCTTTATGCTATAAGATTAGCAACAACAGGCAAGTCAAACACAACATCAAATCATTGTTTTTCTATTTTAATGAAGATGTACTAAGCTAATTACTCTTTTAAAAATAAGCAAGAAATATATTATAAATAAAATTTATTAAATAGATAGATATAAGAATAAATTATATTAATATAATTAATATATTATAAAGAAAGGTATCACCATGTTTACTCCATGCCATTAAAATTATCAATATAAAAAAAATTTAGTTTTAAATAAGAATTGCAAGTATTAAAATTATAATTGATATAAGTATAAATTATATTAATATAATCAATATATTTAAAATAAAAAATAATATATATAATATTCGGGACGGGACGGGACGTCTCGATAGTAATCCCGTGTCCCGTCCCGTCCCGAATCCCTTCTTGTTCCATCCTGTAAAGTCCCGTCCCGATTATTTTCGAGCCGGGACAAGACCCGTTCCGATATGATCGGGACGATACCGAGCCAGTCGGGACGGGTTCAGACTGAACACCCCTAATAAATACGGCATGGATGTGGTTTCTTATTATAATTTTCAATGTTAAAACAGTTTTTTTTTCCTTTTATATAATTGAAACTTCTAACAAAAAGAATGCATGCTCACGCAGGTGCATTATTATTGAGCAAAAGTTGAGATGCTCCATGAGATTACTTGAAGTATTTGGAATTAAATTAAATATATTTTTTAGAAATTAATAGCACTATCATTTTGGTGAAACCATCAAAATTATATTTTAAACATGAAACCAAACACGCGCTCGCGTAGTTTGGCTAAAAGCAAAAACAAAAAAGTTTTTTTCTTCTTTTCATTTGCATGGAGTTTTCCTTTTTTTATTTATTTTTCATCAAACAATCATAATAATGAAGATCTGAGGAAGCATAACATACGCATACTCTAAAATCATGAAAAAGTGATGAGTCATTGCCACGTAGAACCCGCAAAGGGAGGGCTCAAATCAATACACTCATTGATAATAGGTTGTAAAATTATAACCTAGTCAGAAATATAGAATTCAATTCATCTAACTTTTATTTTAATATAATTTTATTTTAAGGTAAATATTGACCTTTTAACTTAATTGAAACTTCCAATAAAAGACATAATTGTTC